ATATATATGCAAAAATCTCCAATGGTTTCGCTAAATTCAAAGGTTATACTTTCGTTTTTAGCGATCAAGAGTATGTTTACTACACACATTACAGACAGACACTAAAACCGATACTGATCAACCATATATAGACTTTCTAAGGTATCTGAGGCTTAGTAGTTGCAAACGCTTTGACGAAATGTATATACCTGCATTCTGCAGGTAATGAGTGTAAAACGAATATTTAATTTTCTGCAAAATCGATCAGCACAAAAACATTAACGAGTACTCAATATGAATAATTTGACAACTGCGGTGATTTTACTACGTAACTCATGTTAGTAATTGAACAAACCAGAAATGTCTAATCCATTGCCTTGGAGACACATCAAAATCAATGAATTTGCTCTTCTTTGGAGATAAGTCAACTGGCCAATAGTAAATATACTTGAGTCTTGAGTACATAGTTCTTGTTTTCATTTTTATAAGAGTAAGCTGCGTTGCTCTGTAGATTACGTTTATTTTGAAATTTGTTTAATAAATTTATTTAATTAATAATTAATTTAAATAATTTGGTTAATAAAATTAAACCAAGATCATGGACGTGGCACAATCTCCAAAAATTTGGTTTTAAATTCAGCTGCCGCGAAAGTCTCAACAGCGACGAACAATCGACAAACTGCGAAGATTTTTTATAATTAATATGAATCTCCGGAATGATTTAAACGGAGTCATGAACTTAGTATAACTCAATTCTTTACTAGTTTATGTAATAAGCTCGACATTTTCGTTCCCTCTCCCTCTGCTGCTGTTCCTGTTTCTGCTTCTATTTCTGCTTTTGCTCCTGCTATTGAGACTTTCGAAATGTTATTTTTTTTTTCATTTAACAAAGTTTTTTCTTTGCAGAAGACATGCTTTCAGTTAATGGAGTTTTAATAAATTCACTTTTACTTACAAATGAAATGGGAAATTGTGAAAATCCAATGAAGTTACATTATGTTTGACATAAATGGCAAAAGCCAAAGTGCACTTACGCTACTTTCATTAAATTTATTTTTAAATGAACATAATGCTTATGTATTTATATTTTTTCCGTTTTTGTTTTTAATTACCCACTATCCATAAATTGTTTCAGAATAATGATTTATAAGTAGCATATCACACACATACTTTGAACTTTGACCCAAATTTTAATCACGCCAGCATTAGTATGTATTGTGTATCGACCAAGCGGAATAAAAAAAGTATTGGAAAGGGTTAAACAAAGCAAATGAAGAAAGAGAAAGCAATAATGAACACAACCACGAAAGATATATTATCAGCAGGAGATTCTACGAAGGTTTTGGTAAGAATAGCGAGATATTTTATTTTAAATAGAGATTTTTTTTTTTTTTTTTTTTTTGAATTAATAGACAGCAGTCATTTTCTCCCTTTAAAACATATTGAGTTATTTAGCAGGGCAAATAAAAAGAAACAAAGGGCTCAAATTACCATAGGCAAGGTTTGGAGCCCTGGTGGTGAGCATTTTCACTTATATGATGTAAAGTAATTAAGAATACTAAAAGGATCTTTGGACAAGAAGGAGAGATACTTGCATTCGGACTTATAAAACGTAGAAAGAAAAGAAAAATTTGCAAATCTTAACGGAAACGAAGTGTAATTCTTCGCTTAATACTCTGTGTCCCATTACCGAAATCTAGTTGAATAGATGTGCGTGTAGACGAATAAATGTTCATCTGAAAAAATGAATTTTTATCTAAAAAAACAGTGCGATCAACTTTACATATCCTTGCGTTACGTAAGCTATGTGGAATACATTCATTTGTTCAAGTATTTATATATTTAACATATGCATGTACCTCTCTTTGAATAAGTTACTTTTGAGCAGTTGTATACGTAACATAAGTATTTGTGTCAACGTGTATAGGGAAAGTGACTTTATTTATTTTTTATGGAATTTCTATGAACAGATGCTGTGCATAGCGCCACGTTTAAGGTGTACAGGCAGCCCACTTGAAACTCTTTAATTTTCGTATAGATGTCTATGGGTTTTAATTCTTTTGCATACACTAACATATACTATACAAATACATAAATATTTGCACGTTCCCTTATTCTGCCTGCATCCTCAATTCTCCCTTACTTAGGAATATTTTCTCTATTTAATATAAAAATGTAGAATGCATTTTAAAAAGCTCGTCATCTAGAATATTGCAAAAACGAAGAAAACGGCCGAGAACCTTACTGTTGTAATGATTTGTTAAACAATATCTTTAATGTTGTTGCTACTACTATTGGTGTTGCTGGTTCTGACGCTGCTGCTGTTGTTGTTATCGTTAGAGTTAGAGTCGCTGAGGTACTCGATCAACGTGCCAATTTAGAAGAATTTATGAAAAATTAAATAAGTTAACTTTTTGAATTTACATTTTTTCTAATATGAACCGTTAATCGTTTGTTTCGATCCGAGTCACTACGATCTTATGCTCAATAAACGTTACAGCTTTAAGTTGCGTAGCATTTATTTTAACCTCCTTATGAAAATGTTTTCTTAACCCTAGCTAATATAGCACTGTCTTTGTTAATATTTTCGACTCAGCTTTATTTTCAATAATATCCGAAATAGAGAGAATTTGAACTGAGTTGAATGTAAGGAATAACGGAAGGAATATCAACAATTTTTAAATGAGAACATTTTTACGGTGTAGTTATATCTTATCGCCTCCTTTACAGTAATTTTCAACTGTTGATCTTCTCTCCGATAGTAGATGTTCCGAGATCGTTTAGTGTTCCCAATATCTACTGTGACCACTACGTAGTACATCTTGCCTATAATTCTTATTAATTTAAATAAACGAAGTTTTTGACATCATTTGAGAAATACTCGAATTTGTTAAAGGTTAGAAGTGAATGGTAAGAAATGGGAGGAGTCATTCATATAAGAAGCAATCCAAAACCACGACGACTGCATTTTTTAGCAAAAATACTGTAAGCGCAAGTGTGAAACTCGTTATTGATAATGAAATTTGTAGTTGTAAATATTTTCTTGTTTTCAATGATATTTAGTCCCTCAAACTTTAAATCATTTATCTCATTAGTGTACGTTAGCGTCTATCATTTGCAACTGTGCTTTTGTATGCGAAATGCAGGAACTTAATGATATTGAAATGATATTCACCAAATTCTGAGCACTTGTACTGTTTTTATTTTAGCTGATGAGCTTTAACTACAGGCTATTGCTGTTACGACACTCTTGTTTGATTCCCTCCTTCGGCTTGATTTTCGCAAAAAACTTCTCTAGTAGAGTAGCTTTTAAATTTCAACAATTTTAAAATAACTTTCAGTATATTATTGTTCAAGAGCTTCTTAAAATCATGCAATTGTTTTATGTAAATGTGAATTTAATCGACTTTCTGGCGCTTCTACATTTCTAATTATATGGGAATAGCAGGCAATAAATTTTGAAGTTATAAGTTTCATTTTAACTTTAATGCAATAATGGAAACTTACTTCCAGTATATTCTGCTAAATGCTTTTTACAAGCAAAGAAGTTGCATATCGATTAAAAAATATATAAATGATTGTTTTTATTTTTGCTGCTTTAAAAATTTTTTGAAAAAGGCAACTTTGTTTTGTCCGGTTTTGTTAGAGTTAAATATTAATATCCGCCTGAGTGGCCGAGTAGACAGGGGTCTCGATTAGCAGCTCAATGATCGTGGGTTCAAATCTCAAGCGCGGTAGAGTTTTTAATAAAGCCGAAAGCCTTAAATGCTAGTGCTTTAAGACTTTAGTGTTAGAATGTAGTCTCTGGCTAAATTTATAATAATAATAATAATAAGAATGATAATAAATATTAATACATATTAATGGTCTTATTACTTATAAGATCAGCTTAGATATCATATAAATATCGGACTTGCGCAATCAATTTTTTTAATTGTGGTATTTTAACGCAATTATTTTTCAGTTTTGTACCTCTTACGTAACCAGTTGTCGTTCAGGAGATGGCCGCTATCAAGAAATACAAACATGATATAATTGGAGAGAATGAAATTTGGAGAATATACTTTAGATTGTTTATTTCGGATAATACACATACATGGACGAATTTTTCACACACGCCATCCTTATCTTAAGATAGAACATTCAAATTTTTGTTGTTGTAATACATAACTAATGAGCACAAATGGCATTCCCCATTTGCTGTACTTCACTGTGCTGTGTATAGGTGCTTTCAGTGTCTTGGCCCGTTTTGAATAGCAGCCTGCGCCCAAGAACCTCGAATGTTTCTGCCAAATATGAATATAACTTCATTTTTGCAATGTTTACCACAACAGACATTATACAGTTTCAGAATGTCATGTTGATCAAGTATGTATCTATATAGTACATATTATGTTATCTTATAGTATATGTAATATCTGAAGCTTGCATTCGGGTTTTTTAAAACAAGTTGACAAAATGAATATATCGCCCTCTTACGGTGATGGCTACCATAACAGAATAGGAATAAATAAGTATAAGATTATTGTGCAAAAACGAAGTGAGACGACCGCATGGACATGAGTAAGAACAGAGCTTTACTACATGCAAAATTATTTAAAGACAAACCGAAATGTCTAATGTCTACTTGGAGTCCCCGATCAGCTCTTATATATATAAAATTGTATTCAAATGTGAGTTAGTATGAATGTATCTGTCCTGAAAGGCACAAAGAAAAGAATAAAATCGATTCTTGGAAAAAAAAAATAGTTTTCTATTGTTACAAACGATGGGAATAAAATGAATGCAGAATATAAACACTTGATATGTAGGGTTCATGGCAGCAAAAAACTATTTAACGCATCATACCAGTACGGAAAAATAGCATAAGAGAGAAGAGGAGCAAACAAATAAATAGGGAAACTTTTATATGTGCATATAGAAGTACTAACACTTACACCCGCTTTTATAGGTAAAGATATATATATGTCTTTTTTTTAATTTTTTTCATTTTTTCCTTTTTTTTTAGTGTACGCACAGACCGTAATGTGCACGAAGTTAAATAATATATGCAAAAATGTAAGTATGCGATAAAACCTATTTACATTTGTACATTTGCATATGCATGGTATATGTCGTGAGAGAGAAAGAGTTTTTCTTTTAATAACTACAAAAGATAAACAAAAAAAAAAAAAAAACTCACCTAAAAGTGGATCTTCGATATCCACCACATAGTTCATAACTTTATCTTTTAATTTAAACTCTTCGTATGAATTATAAAAGCGCTTGTCAATCAGTCGAAGTGAAATCATTTGTGTAGATAAAATTTGTAGATGAGTTTACTAAATGTTTATAAAAATCGATATGAATAACCTTTTGCGATTTCCAAATCACAATATTAATAAAATAACTATCAAATTTTTAGATTCTTGAAGTGCAAATACGCATTTCTCGGCCAGCTTAGTGTATTTTCGAAGATCGGTGAGTTAGATTGGAGATCGGTAACGCTGCGAATTTTCACTGACTCTTGCGAATCTTTTATCGTTGACTCTTACAACGTAATGTACACTTTCCTAGGGATACTATATATTTAAGTAAGTGTTTTTCCATTATATACATGTATGTATATATATATATATATATATCCTTTATGTAGCTTAATCACTTTTTCTTGTCGATTTTTCTTTATACAATTAATACTTTTTAGGGAAGCTTTACTTTCCACTATTCACTTATTTTACGTTTAAGTTCCACTTTATTGTATCTATTCATCTATTTTTTTCTTTTATGTTTCATCCTTTTTTGTGTTTCGTCTTTTTTTTGTGTTGCTTCGTTGGGATTTTTACACATCGTAAATAAGAAAAATGGGGTGGTATGTTGGAGCGCATATTTGTCAATTGTTAATTTAGTTACTCTATTTACGGGGATATTGTTGCTTGCTAGAGAAGATAGCTTGAAATAGTGTACTGTTTCTTTCCATTTAGTTTCATACTCAACTTCGGATATATGTAATATTTTTGTTTACTAACTTTCTCCTTTTTTGTAGAAAAAAAATTTTTTTTACTAGTCTGTTGATGAAAATAAGAATTCAGACATTTTTCGATTGGAAGCAGCATAAAACACAGCTTATTTTCGTTTCACCAGCGCAGACGTAACGCTTGCGAGCATGCCCATCCCAAGCTCTCTCTCTCTCTCTCTCTCTCCCCACTACTTCTTCTGTGAACACTATTGTGACCATGATCATAAAAAAATAAATACATAAATAAATATAAAAATATGCTTTTCCAGCCCATAATTCTTGGTAAGTATGTCTGTACATTTTAGATGTGCTATTAATAAAGACGCATGAAACGATCGAAGATATTATAGCTTCTAGTAAGCAAAACAGCATATAGCTTACCCTTAAAGGTCCCCAGATTTCTTTTTCAAACTATTCTGCTCACAATTAAAGGAATAAACTGTTTAAGTGTTCGAATGGAAAATTTTATTTTCGCTATACTTATATTAAAATTTAGAATACTTTGCGCGTGGCTCAGCTCTAGTCCCTGTTCAAGTTTTTCTAACATTAACTTACGCTCCAAAACTTTCAATGTAAATGGTTGTAAATAAATAAGTTTTTCCAAGACAATAGTACCGTAGTAGCAGTATAAGCTTTCAATTTCAAGTGATCTGAAATGTCGTTGCCGGCTTTTATTACGTTCACTCATGTGAAATTGAACTAGTTAATCGTAAGACATATCCAATTTTGAAATTGAGTAAAATTGCCCATATAATTTTATTGTTATTATTATTATTATTATTATTATTAATATTAATTTCACCAGAGAAATAAATTCGAAGACTAAACTCTTAGAGCACTAGCATCTAAGGCTATCGACTTTTATTAAAATCTCTACCGCGCTTGAGATTCGAACACGCGACCATTGAGTTGTTAGTCGAGATTCCTCGCCTTCGGCCGCTCAGGCAGATGCCCATACCTTTGAACCACATCTTTTCATTAAAAATCAAAAGAATCATAGTCTTTATGTATATTTTTAATAGCCGATCATTAATCGTCTGTAGGGGGCAACCGTAATTAACTTTAAGCGGTTCATTAATATGTAAAGTGAATGGTAAGCACGGATTTAAGTAAAATATCCCATAACAAATCTATAGATCTTTAACACCGACAATATCATAATTTTCTGTTTATTTTATTTATAGATTTTAACAACGATATTTAGAAGCGTTGCAAGAAGTTACAACATCAGACACATTTGGCGACTAACGACAATCGCGCGCTTACTTAATGATGTACATTTTGGCGATAAACTGGTGCAAGAATAAATATATTTGCATTACAACGACAAGGAACAACGTGTTAAAGAAATGAAAAAAACACGACAAAAGATTGAGTAACAAGCTTAAATCCATGCGGTGATATGAACGTAACGGTATGTTAGAAAATCTAAGCGAAAATAAAACTCCGTTTAAAAATAAGAAATTCATAGGCAAACACCATTAGGCATAAAAAATAGCTATAATAGCAAAAAAGCAAGATAAGATTAAACTCGCTTTAGGACGAGTTTTTGGTATCCATTATTTTGAAGATGCGTGCATTAACATCACAACTCTTTTATACTAACATCCAAATGATTAACGGTGTACCATATTTGTGCTATTAAGTTCGTAGTCTTTTTAATTACTGAATTCTGATCATCTCCTTTTCTGCGATCTCTTGGTTTAGAAATTTTAAAATACACGTATAAAAGCCGACATATAATATATCCGCCTTTTTAATTAAATGTTATAAAGGCAATTTTTGTTTACAAAAACAGCAACAATCTAATGAAACAAAAACTTATGCACAAATTTTGAATTATAGGAAACGTCGATCTACAGCTTGATATATATATTTAAGAAACGGGGTCTAAAAGGTTCAATGGGGAGATGAACGCAATCCGTCATCTAAATCGTCCGCATCTAAGCCAAACGATTTACAATTGTTGCGTTTATGAATATTGTCCTCTTACTTGTTTGTAATCTCGCCACATTGCTATCAAGTTAACACAGATCATAGATTATTGATAAATAATGGCACCGTATGTGATGATATTGACCTTATGTAATTAGAAGAAACTTCCAATTTGATCACTCACTTCCTAAACTGATCGCTGAGAATCAACTACGTTTATAGCTAATAGGCTACATATCGAGTTTTCCGATTAGAAAAAGGTTGCGAAAAAAACAAAAAAAAAAAAAAAATGTGAAATTAATTATGATGTCGTTATTGCTCACAAGCAAAATCACAAAATCGGCGTTCCCTCATATCTCTACGGTGGTCGGTGTAAATATAATAAATAGGTATGAAAACAAACCGAATAAAAAAAATACATCGACATCAACGCTAGCGTTAGTAAAAACGACGCTTCAAAATTATTTACATATCAGTTGGTATGAACAACTCAAAATAAACAAAAAAAAAAAACAGCTTGGATGAGCATACACACATGCAACGAAATATAAAATGTGAAAGAAAACAACAAAAACGGCAAAAAAAATAAATAAATAAATAAAAATTTTGAAAAAAGTGCGAATCCGTTGCACCCTATAGATAAATATATGAAATTCACTCTTATTAAGTGAATAAATTAAGTGGGTGCTAATAAATCGATTTTCGCATAAGAAGCAGAAGTGGGACGAATTTTCAATCGTACAATATTTCTTAAGTGATGACGAAAGTGTGTGAAAAATTGCTTGTTCCAAGATTGCATTGTTTTTTTCGTCGCTATGTTGGCGGGTGCGTTTTAAGTGTGAATTCGAAATATTTACGTGAAGTAAAATTTCTTTGGAAATTTTTGTGATCTAGAGTAATTTTAAAACCATTGGACATAAGGAAAACCCCTTTGAGCTCTCAACTTATATTGTTATCTACAAGCGGCCGAATTCTAAAAAGGAAAGGGGTTTCATTTTCCCGTAATAAAAACAATAATAAAACAAAATACCAAAAACATTTAACGAAACCAGTATCTGTAATAAAATCCACAATAGCAAAAAGTAAAATAACATAAATAATATAAGAAATGTAATGGAATGTATTAGAGTACATAAAAAATGGATTTCAATTGCCTTTTTAAGGCTATACTGATCCTATATATCGTTAAAGGTAAGTAAGGCAATTTGATTTTTCTCTTTTTACTTTTTACCCATTTTTTCTCAACTCATAATTATAAAAATTTCATTTCTCTAAACTGTTTTTATAATTGTAAGCGTATCTGTCAGATAGCAAATGTATTAGATTAGAACCAAAATTTTTGAAGATTCAGCTAAATATTCCAAATTTTAGATCAATAATTCTTAAATAATGATATATAAAGTTATGTAAAAGTATTTTAGTTTTGAGTGCTTGCGCTTCTTTTCAGCTTTCAATATGAATTGTCGCGATAATAAAAGTTTTCATAAGTCTGCACAAGCTATCTCCCTTAGACAAGCCATGCAAGAATGAAGCGCGTATCATCTACAATTGACTCTCGTTCGTTGAAGCTGAACCAATGACATTTAGGCCTTTTGACCTTAGGGAATGCTAGAAGGCAAAATTACAGAATAATAGAATTTAAAATCTTTCCATATACCTAACTAGTTATGTATGTGACAATCAAATGAAATTTTAGCAATATTTCTGATTACATATATATAGATAGAAAAATTGTGATTCTTTCCGAAGCATACGTATATCGAGTTTGTGTGGATAAATGTAACAAACAGGAAGACTTAAGATAGGTACGACTAATCGCTTAGCGAATATTTGTTACTCGCGTAACGCCAGAAAGAAGTGAGGAAAAAGAAGGAAATAGAGAGGTGTTGGGTGCAGCCGAGTGGATTTGTGCCCAATCGATACGTTTTATGCGTTTACCGGCTAAAAATTCACTATAGTAAAAAGTAAACTCTACCACACTAAGATTTGAACCTGTGAACACTGACTTGGAAAACGCTTTACTTACCTATTCGGTTACTCATACGAATTCGAATCATGCAAGTCAATTAGTTCTACCTCATCCCGTATAAAGGTCTTTACATTATAAATATGAAAATTATATTCGGCTGTGAACGAATCTTGTGTACTCACCACCGTCATCCTAAACCTAGGCTGAAAAAAGAAGACAAACTTTATAATGTTAAGTAGAACTGGAAATGCTTATCATGTGCTTAGTATAGCTCATGAGTAATGAGCAAAAAGCACGACAACTAAATATGCTCTCAGTTTTTGGTGGATTGGTTGGCACATTTTCAAATTCTTTTGCAGATCTGTACACGGCGTTGTCATTTTTGCGAACGGGGGAATATTTATGATGGGTACTATACAGTTGAATAGACGAACAGGCGGATATACTTCGACTTATTTCAAATTTAATATTTGTCAAGTATGTGTATACTTTATGTTATTTACACAGTCTAAGTATGAGTACTTTTAAAATTAGGTTATAATCGAGTAACAACGCTTGCAAAAAATTTATCACGCAAAATAGACCATAATTTTTATGTACTTGTAGATTATTCAAGAAGAAGGTATAATTACCTTTATCGCTGGTAACAGCTCTAAGAGTTGGCGGACGATTTTTCCACCAACGAGCATAGTACACACCGCAGAGCTTTTCAAAGGCAGAGGTCGCAGTGAAGCGAATGACTATTTGAAGATTTTTAGTCGAGCTCCTAAATTAAAATCGCCCCTAACTCAAATTCTTAATAACTTTAAATAGATGAGATGAGAAATCTAAGTGTAAGGTGATCTTCGAAAGAAATCTTTAAAGAATTTCGAACGTAAGAGGATATATATCTGAGAGGCGTATTATAGATAGTACGCACGACTTTAGGCTTTGCCGATTTTAATTTACCAAACAATAGTAAATCCTGTAACCACTTTAATGCAGTAATTTATGTGTGAATTTAAAAGAGAGCAAGCGAGTTTAAGTTTGGATTAATATTAGCCATATGGTCTTCACAAATTCAATATATGTATTACATGGTTTTTAATATTTTATGATGAAAATTAATCATAAAAAATAACTATACTATATACAATATTTGGACTTCGCAGGTTTATTGTTCGGACTCTACATCATATAAGGGCACTCAAGAGAAAACATTGTTTTTACGGTAAAAAAATCTTTTTTGTTTTTTTTTTTTTTTTGCGTTACGACAAATAATAATAAAATAAATAAAAACAAAATCTTTCACGGGAAGATTAATTGAGCTAAATTTAGGTTATGTCAGGTTTAGGTTCTCTTATATATTAGAGCTCTCAATGAAAGTATCCATTTAGATGAAACAAAGGTGTAGTCGTTATTTTGTCACGAAAATAAATGAAAAGACAAAGGGACGTTACGTATTTAACGGTCGTGCTTGCCCGACTACAATTGTTGTACACGTCATTATAAGCTTTTGTTTAACTTGTTTTTCTGTTTGTATTGTAACTCCCCATTGATATTCCGGGCACTTCGTGTATCCGATCGTGTTAAAATTATTCACACACTTTTATTTCCGACCGCAACGCAACGTAATACTGTCGGGTATTACCTGTTTTTTTAACAATATTCTTAATGCGGGAATAAAAAAAAAAGGCTTGGAAAGGAAAATCCGTCAAGATTAGTGACATCAGTCTCACATTAAACATGACGTGCTCCGCGGCATAGAAAATTACTTTTTTTTTTAAAAGTGCCATAACGATAACGGCGTTAACATCAAATGAAAATTCCTGGAGTGAGGAATATTAAACGGAATTCATTACGCTTATGCGTCCTGAAGTTTTAATTGCTAACTTCGTTTCGTTTCGCGAGTTTTGCCTTATGAACCACAAATCATGCACAAATCGGCGTTTGGCGTATTGTGGAGGCTTTTCAATCGCGTCAGTCGCTGTTGTTACGATTGTTCGCTAATTTCCTTCTGCCTTTGGCTCGGAGAAATTCGTAATACATACGCCTAACTGATATCACATGTAGAACCGCCAGTTACCAGTACCAGTTACGTTCGCCGATGTGAATGGTTTGTCTGGCTTGTTATATTACTTCGAGTCGTTTTCGCTTCGGATATCTTAATATGTTTATTATTTCTCATCCGCCATGATTGCGCATCATTTACCTGCAAGTTAGATAATAGACGAAAAATCAATTTCAAGATTTTGTTTTTTCTGTTCGCATACATCGTGTTATTTGTATTATCAACGCTTGAAGCTTAAAGATGTCAATTTGATAAGAGGTCACAATAGTATCCAATACGATAGAGAACTAGTAGTGGCCTCGTCTAAGCACAACACTAAACATACAAAATAATGTCGAAAATAGAAAAAATGAAATTGAAAAGAAATTCAGCAATGTACACATTTGTAATATTTGCATGAGATATTCTTAGAAGACCGAAACGATTTTTTTAAACGCTGCGGGATAAGCTGGAAAGTAGTCAGCCATACAATGAGTAACACTACAAACTTACTACAACTAAATTACTAATGAGTTATTAAGCGCAACTGTTTTTGCAAGAAATTCGTTTAAAAGTGTAATTTTAGTTGTGTTCAGTATTAAATCGATTAACCAAAAGTTTCGTCAAGTGGAATTCGCTGCTCTTGTTTTTATTATATCGTGATCCAATTCTAGTTTTATGCCAACCAATTGATTTTCCCAGAAAAGAAATTTCGGAGAGATGAAAAATCTCAGTGCACATTCATGACTCGCCATGCAGCTGCCCGCCGACGAAAAAGATTACCGGAAAACATATTATTTATGGTAACTTGCTTACATAAGAAGAATATTTGAGCAGAATGATTTAATCGGAAGAGACAATTTAAGTCGAAAAGGAAGTTAAGTCAAGAATGTTGTAAAAATAAGTAAATTGTAAATAATCCTACTGATTATAAATAAAACTGCGATCTAGTGATACGAACATTCTAGAGAAGAGTGTTTCGTAATTAATTTTTGACTAAATATCAATTAGATGATATTGGTGAAGTACTAAAGTAACTGGATGAAAATTTCAGAATACAGAAGACATGGCCGTATAAGCGTCTTTGTCCGACATCGAAAGAAAAGTGGTTTGGTAAGTAGGCGTGGTCTGACAATTTTTCAAACTTAAAAAAATTCAAGAGTAGGAGTTAAAAATTTTACTTAAGTATACAAATGGAAACTATGAAGTAAAATTCTAAACAGCAATATTTAATGTAAAACAAGCAGTAGTTCGTTTCTTAGAAGTCTTCTCAAAAGAAAAGCATAAAAATTATAAGACATGTTTACTAGTCGTCATGATGGTATTGGTAGCAAAAAAAGGAATCACCCAAGTTCAACAACACACCCTCGACATGTGAATGACCTCTAATGTCATCTACAGTTACTCTATTCTAAGCACTTGTAACACGTGCATCAGCAGTAGCAACGGTCGTCGTCATCATCATCACTTACCAACATCGTCATTTTATTGTTTAGAGAGAACATAAGGAACCTGCATTAAAAAGAGTAAAAATAGAAAAAACTGTGAAAACTGTAGAATTATCACAAATACCATATACACACATTCAAACTAAGTCATTTGTACTTATGATGGCTGAAAATGCTGCTACTGTCATTGCTGACGTTGTTACTGCTGCTGTTTACAAAGCAAATAAATATATATATATTTATGTAAAAATTTCTCGTACACTATATCATACACTGCCAACACGACAGTGAAATACTACAAAACGCTAAAGCGAACTCTTCTACGCTGAGCTGTAGAAATATTGAAGACACATAAGGCAAGGAAGGGTGCTGCCTTTGGCTTGACACGAATTTTGGGCGCCTGTCAGATCAACTTGTTCTCTATTGATTACAAAAATGTGCCAGCGAATTAACTTTAAGGTTCTAGATAAATACAATATCTGTTACCATTCGTAAGTAGTTCTTGAAAATTTCGGATTTTTTTTCATGCGTGGCGCATGAATGTCGCATTTACTACTTTCTAATTGTCAATTTCAAAAACGGATGGCAAACGAACATTGAAATCTCTGATCAATGATAAAAATGTTTCATAGGATCCTCGAAATAAGTGTCAGCAACGTAAAAACAAAACTAATGCTTTGCTATTCTGCAATAGTAAACGCAAAAATGAATGAATAGATGACTGACTGCCTGCTGGAATATCTAC